GAGGAGGGGGGAACATAAGTTAAAAAAATGTTGAGATATAGGGATATTTGTTTACCTTAGAATGTTTTCAGAATAATTTTTAGTAAGGAAGGGAGTAGTGGCAGAGTGAGGGAAGATATCAGAATTACAAAGAGACATAGGGAGCGAGTATAAGAGAGGTCAGATCACGTGGCTTACAGTTTGGGCAGTGACCAAGGACAACAGGGATGTGGGTAATGCTGGCCACAATAAGATGTCCATAAGTAATCCCAGAAATTTGTGGTGGAAAGGAGAGATCTTCAGGAGGAATTAGTCATGGCCTGGACTGACTAACTTCCAAAAGACTTCTGATCCAATTGAATAGGCTGGAAATGTAATTATGTGGTTCCTAGGACTACTACCATGCGTTAGAAACTACTCTGTCCTTGCTTGGGAAACTTTCTTAACTTCTCTGAAAACCATTTTTAAAAAAATATTTTTTAGTTGTTGATGGACCTTTATTTTTATTTGTTTATTTATATGTGGTGCTGAGTATTGAACCCAGTACCTCACAGGTGCTAGGCAAGTGTTCTACAACTGAGCTACAACCCCATCCCCGAACTCCATTTTTCAAATAAATAAAACCAGGATAATTCAATCTCACAAGCTTATTGTAAGGATTAAACAAAGCCATGCATATGAGACATCCACCTCAAAATTAAACTGTCATGTATCTACTTTCTTTGGCCTGGCACCAACTAAATGCTTCACAAAATAAAGTACTCATTGCCTTGGAAAATATCTGACTTATTAGTCAAATAAGGGACAATAGAATACTTCCCTCTTAGCCTCAGTCCTAAAGGAATAAAGTAATCAGGACAACAGAGTAATGTCACACAGCCAGAGAGAAGGGAAGGAAAGATCTGAATAGGAAGATTTTCTGGTACATGCTGGCTTGTGTGACCCAGGATGGCATAAGTCAGTTCCCCATGGCCTACTCTCTGGAGAATAACATCCAAGAGTAAAATCTACAGAGCTGACAACACACAGGTATAAATCCTCCTCCTGTCTACCACCACTAACCCAAATACAAATGTTCACAAAAAGATGAACTTGCATTTGGTCCCTGGTACAGAAAGCTGATGTATATCTTCAATCTCCATACATAGAGTACATCCTGGCTACATGGGACTGCCATTTGGGTAAATCCCAAGTGTCCTGTTAACAAAGTTGTTAGCTATCTCATATACCTGAGGTTAATAAATGTAAGTTTATAAACTAAAGCACACTGAAGAGTATTCAACAAGATATTTTACGATTTTTAAATAAGTTGCCAAGATTTTTTAGAATTACCAAAAATGTTCAATTTTTTTTTTTTGGCAGTGCTGGGATTGAACCTAGGGTCTCACATGGGCCAGGCAAGCACTCCACTACTGAGCCATACCCCCAGCCCTCACTCTCTAGTCTTTAACAATCCCACACAGACTGTCTCACTTACACAGAGGTACTAACACCAACATCATGCCAAGAACTAATCAAATAGTACTTAAACACATTGCACTGGTATTAGAATAAGTAAGGTTCTCTGGAAGGGAAATTAAGTTATATAGTCACAGTGTGTGCAACTGTGCACACATAAAATTCTGACTGCTATTAAATATAAAAATTACAAAAAATAACGGGATAAAACTGAAAGTGATTTCTATTCATTCTTTTATTTTATATTCTATAACACACTGAATTTTCTATAATACAAACTTGTTAATTTATTTAAATATTCAAAAGATGAATTAAAATAAACATTTCAATTCAAAAGTTCTACAATAACAATATGTGCCCAAAGACATAAGAATGACTACAGAATAGAAATGGCAGCAATATAGCTTTTGAGACTATTCAAATAAAAGTATTCAAATTTCAATTCATTCAATCCCTTTGAATCTATTTCTCTTCTATTTCTGGATTCTAAACTAAAGGATTCAAAGACACTATGTTCCTTCTTTTATTGTTGAGAGTTATTTCCTAACTCTTGAAATGACATGCTAAACGAATGGTGTCCTTGCAGGAGGGGCACAAGGAGAGGTGGGTGTAATACAAAGAGTAACAAAGTCTAACAATGATCCCAATATTTGTAGTAAATCTGGGTCACAACTGTGAAGATGAGATGCTCCATTTTATCAAGGAAGAACCAATTCCCTGCAAAACAGTAGACCATCACTTTGTTTTCAAGAACATTTCTGTAATATGCATGATTGTTGTAAGTTTATCTGTTAAAACTAGACTAATACTTTAAAATTTGAAGCTGGTTTAATTAAGAGTCAGAACCACAGAAAGGATGAAATGTTAAAATTAACTGGGCTGGGGTTTTAGATCAGTGGTATAAAACTTGCCTACCATGTTGCAAGGCTCCAGGTTTGATCCCAGCACTGAAAAAATACAAAAACAAAATACCACTTACCATTCACTACACTGATTCTCAACTAAGAAAGTATTCAGAAGTGGGTGGGAAGGAGAGGAAAGCATGGTCTATAAGTCACCTGAGTTTCCTCAACCCTCAGGATCTATGTTCCTTCCCATCCAGATTCTCCTTCAGTCTGTCCCATCTTCATAGTAGGAAATGCCCCATTCTGGAAAATCAATACTAAAGTACAGATGAAAATCTATCTCATCTCTTAGGTGTTCTGAGAGCATATGTTTCAGTCAATATTCCCAACTTACAATGCTCACTTTGTAGATCTGGAAAATAAGGCTCTGCATTGTTAACTATGGAGACAGCTTACCCAAGTCCCTTGTAAAGAGTCAGGCCATGTTCACATAGAAACATGTTGGATACTTTATGGATCCACTCCAACATTCACTGATTTGACTAGGAGGTGATTATCCAAACCAAGGGCAACCAACCCATTGGGTAAATCCCAAGTGTCCTGTTAACAATTCATTTGCAATGAATTGGCACAAAAGCAAAAGCTGGGCACATGGCCTACTCCTGAAATTCTTTGCTCAGAAAAACACAAGAGAGAAAGCAGTATTCAACATAAAAAGTAAAGGGAGTGAGGAATAGGAATAGGAGTAGGAATGAGGAGTTGGGACAAGGTGAAGTGTATACAGATGAAGATTTGACAAGTAGGCAAATGCTTACACAGTATAATAATAAGAGATAAACAGACAACCAAACCAAAGGACAATGGTAGAATTCTAGGGGGAGGATCTATGAATTTTCACTGAATGTAGTCTATAGGATCATCTTGGAATCAGAATTAAAATATGGCTCCAATTTCTGCAAGATGTCACTCCAACAAGATTAATGTTTTAACATTTTACACATGTTCTTTCAATAAGCTATCCCACTCCAAGCTAGTATAAATCTCTGTTCTGTGCAATCTAGGAAACATCTAAAACAATATGAGAACGAGCTGTCCAAAGTCAAAGAGCTTGGCAAAAAGTTAGACCAGTCAACTCCCAGTAGCCAATGGCCACTCTCCTACAATACTACACCAGAAAGACAATTGAATTGGAAAGGGTCAATTTTATAGTATATGAGTTAAATCTGAATAAAGAGAAAAAGGGTAACTAGAGACAAAGTCCAGAACACAGCAACTAAAATTGACACTAGAGGAATTTTCAAGTAAAAACCAAATAATAATATGAATACAGAAAATAAAAGGCTACAAATCTCTTGAAGTTTATAAAATAATAAGAAGTAATAGATCTTGGGACTGTGGTTGCAACTCAGTGGCAGAACACTTGCCTAGCTGACTTAGATCCTCAACACCACATAAAAATAATTAAATAAAGATATTGTGTCCATCTACAATTAAAAATTAAGGAATAGATCTTAGTTGGGTGCAATGACACTGCTGGCCTATAATCCTAGAAACCTGGTATGTGAAGATCTTTGCCCCATTCTCTGGTTCTCTGAGTAAAGATATCCACCCCTTCAGATGAAAGAGGTAGGGTTTTTTTGTTTGTTTGTTTGTTTTAAGCATTACCTTTAATAGTAAACAATGGGAATTCATGTACCTAACAGCTTCAAATATGGTTTGGTACAAAAATATTTTTAAGACTATGTAAAAGAGAATAGCCACACCTCACAGTATATGGCTTGGTGTCAATGTCAGAGGTATGATACTGGGAAGGATGAACCAGAGGCCACTCCATTAGGGAAATTAAATATAACTTTATTATTTTCTTCAAATTACAAAAGTACATATTTTGTGTAAAGTTTTCTAACAGTACAAATATAAATATTTTGAAAAAGTGCAAATTTTGCCATAATCCAGCTCCTAGAGATAACTAATATGAAGGATTGGGTATATATGCTTCCAGATACCTTTATCTGCATGCATATTTTTATTACCCAAATGCATTCATATCTTACAAAAAAATATTTTGCAACTTGTTTTTTCTTATCTGTTAACATTATTTTTCTATATAATTACACACAGATCAAACATATAACACCTGTATATTTCACAGCATGAATATACCAGTTTACTTAACCATTTTCCTACTGACACTTAGGTTGTTGGCACTTCTCTTCATTAATACAAAACTTTAGGTATTAGTGAACATGTATCTCACACACTTGTTTGACTATTTCTTCCAGGTAAATTCCCAGAAGTATTATTATTAAAATGACATCCTCATTTGAAAATAACAAGCTAGTACTAATCATGGCAACCCACAGTTAAGACTCTAAATAAACAGGCCATGGGGCAGAACCAGTCCAGCCAGGAAATGGAACACTAAGGCTGAGTCAACAAGGCATAGGACTCCTGATTTTCCTGGTGAAGAAATCCATACTATCACTGGTGAAGAGGGCCAAGTGCAAATTGTCAGTCTTCTGCCCTCAAGACAATCAGAGGTCCCCAACTGCATCCAAGCCTGGATAGCCTGACTCTGATAACAGATCATTTTGAGAGACCAGCATTAAATATACAGAATATAAAGGAAAGAAACTGAGGCATGCAACTAATTCAAAAAGGAAAAGGAGGATAAGAAAGATTCATTGCTATTTTTCTTTAAAACACTGGTTAATTTACCTTTTGCATAATGTAGGGAAATAGCACTGGATTTCATAGTGATCCCTCGTATCTGTTCATCTTCTCTGCTGTCCATGTACCTTAGCTGGAAAAAACGCAACATATGCATCTTATTGTTCATGATGTTTTCCCTTTAATCCATTATTATGATAAAATTACATATTAAGTCAATCTTGAATTCTTGAGCTAAATCTATTGGGCTATAAGAAGTAACTCTTTATATAATGCTGTTTTGTTTATTAATAATTTTTTTATCCACAATCATAAAGTTGGCATGAGATTTTTCTTGTCTGGAACTATCTTTAACAGACTTGGTCTGTTATTCCATTCATATGACTTGGAGAGTATTCCCTGTTGTTGAGTTTTTCATCCCTGTATTTTTGAATGGTTCAAGTAGAACTGAAATTACTTGTTCCTTGAATATCTGAGAGAACTGGACAGTTAAATCATCTGGGGTTTTTCTTTGTATAAGGATTTTTGCCAGCCATTTGATTTCTTAAAATACTACACAATTATTCTAGTTTTCTATTTCTTAAGTCTAATTTTAGTAAGTTACCATTTTTACATTTCATCACATTTAAGATTATTTAAAGCTGTTTATTATATCCTATCTTTATCTTTGCCTGAGAGTGTCTATATATACATTCTATATTGGTGCACTACAATTATACTTAATAATAAGATTCTTTATGCCATCAATCTCATTAGCTTTTTATAAAATATTTTTTAATTGTAGATGAACACAATATCTTTATTTATCTTTATGTGGTGCTGAGGATCAAACCCGGTGCCCCACACAGTGCAAGGCAAGTACTCTACCAGTGAAGAATTTCTTTGTAAAATCTCTCACAATTGTATATTATTTGACTTAATACAAAAACTCCTTATAATTTGTACTATATAAAGTAATACAAAGCAGGGGCTGGGGATGTGGCTCAGGTGGTAGCGCGCTCGTCTGGCATGCGTGCGGCCCGGGTTCGATCCCCAGCACCACATACCAACAAAGATGTTGTGTCCGCCGAGAACTAAAAAATAAATATTAAAATTTCTCTCTCTCTCTCTCTCCCCTCTCTCACTCTCTCTTTAAAAAAAAAATAAAGTAATACAAAGCAATATAAAAATAACTATTTTTCTCAACATCTATTTTATCTTGCATAATAGATTCTGAGATGCAGGATTATGTTTTATACTCCTTTAGATCACTGGAGAACACTGCAAACAGCTTATAATATTGTACACTCACTGAAATGTGACAAATGTTTATTAAACAAAACAAATACCTTGCCTGCCAGACGGCTGGAGATGATCCCATTACTAGATATAAGACAATCAGCAAGAGTAGTTTTTCCTGTTAAAATAACATAAATTAAAATCTATGTAGTCTTTAGAGGGGATTGGGGGATAGACTTACTCACAAATTTAATGTCTAATCATAAGAATTAGTTTAGCAAGGATCTTTTATTTACCTATGCCAGATGACATAAGACAAAAGATATATTTTAAGAATTTTATAGACTTCTAAACAGAATATCATCTGGAAAGACATAGAGGCTAGTACTTCATAGTGGTGTAATCACTATGCCAATCCAAAAGAGAACATAACTGACAAATTTTATAGCTACTAAAATCTGTCCTATATGAATTTGGTCAGGTTAATCACAATTATTATATCAGTCATCCCGTATTCACAATAGCTAATCATGCTTATAAACTGAAGCCCCTGAAAGTACAGAATGATAAAAACAGAAATCATGTTCAACGTCTCTGAAAGGTATAATATCAGGTAATATATCATCAAGAAACAACAGAATATCATAAATATATCATTGAAATGTAATATTAAAATATCATTAACAATATCATCAAGAACAATAGTCTTCTGCCACGTTTCCCCATGCAAGCCCTAATTGGTATGTGTTAGTTGTTAATACTTATTTACTAAGGAAATTTACCCATATCTATTACTATTGCAATATAAGCTATGGAAGATAATCATCTACACTGTAACATATATAAACAGTATCCAAATATAAACCTAGAATTTACTTTATAATAAAAAAAACTTCTTTGTATACTTAAGTATATAATTATAGTTACCTTTATCAAACAGACTACCACTAAAGTTTACAAAATTTCAAGGGATATAAATAAGTAACTTTGTTTAAAGAATTCCAGAAGTATATAATAATTACTACAGATGGGTTGGTCTAACAAAAGATTTTCTCTTCAAGACAAGTCCTTATTACACTCCATGAACTTCAACAAAACTATGAATTCCATACAATAATTCAAACCAGAGACCAATCAGTAGGAATACTGAAGATTTTTAATAATATGTTATCTATTTGCCATGTGAAGGTTATGTGTTAGCATATAACACTAGAGCATCACTTTCCTGCTACCCAATAAAGTGGAATTCATTCTAGGCATGAAAATCATGCTCTTTCCATGTTCCAAGAAAGCAGGGACTTTGCTTTATTTATGACTATAACTCTAGGACCAGAGTAATGTTTGGCATATGAAAGACATACAAGAGTTGGGGGGGTGGCTCAGTAGTAGTGTGAGGCACTGGGTTAGATCCTCAGCACCACCACATAAAAATAAATAAATAAAATAAAGGTATTGTGTTCATCTGTAACTAAAACAATATTTTTAAAAAAAGACTCAATAAATAGTTGAATGAATATGAATTAAATGTTTTCTAAGATAGTACCCATTTAAAAATTTTAAAGAAGAAATTTAAAATAAATTGCTCTGCAAACATGCACACCACTGACTTTTCACATGATTTAATTCACAAAGATAAACAACTTATCAGACTTTGTGGCCTCAAAATGTGTGTCGTATAATTACAAAAGCTCTGGGGACAGCAGGGTATGTCACTGGATTTGTATGTAAAACTCATTCTCAGTTGGCTTCACCTATAAGGTGATCTATAACCACCTAACCTCTTTTCTGCCTTTCAATCAATCCTAAGCACTCTACCAGTTTAATCTAATCTACTATTTGACTATATCAAACTTAGTTTTATTTTTTTTTTCTGCTAATGGCTCCCATGTCCTCATAAAAAATGTTAATGATCATTTTCATAATGAAGTATTTAACTTCCTGCCAAGGGATTCTCATTATCATCACATTTAATCCCTATAAGATAGCTATGATTTTCATCCGGTATACATATACTACATACTGAAATTCAAGAAGGCAAAGAAACTTAAAAATGAAGTTGAAAATAAATTCAGGATGTCTAACTCCAGAGCTGAAGCACTTAACCCCTAACTTACATGTAGCCCAGTGGCTATGAAGAGTTCTATGACGTAGGATCCAGCCTGCCCCTTCATCTCTATGATGGTATATAAGTTTTATTTCACATGCCCTTTCCAATCATTTTGCCTCAGCAACCAGAACTCAGAAGGGGTCTGAAACCAATAGCAGGATTAGCATGAAGCAGCGCTATGGTATTACAGCAATGTCTATGTAAATCACATGTATCATGCTTAGCTATTCTTGCATTTATAGTATCCTGGGCTTCAGCCACATGTATTTTCTTCTTCCCAGGCTGACACACTGCCACTTGAAATGTTTGTCTCCATTTGTCATCTTCAGACCACCTTCAAAGATCATCTCTGATATTAATTATGCTGTGAAACCTTTTCTTAACTCACTATGTCCCAGCATCCCATATATAGGACACCTATAAAAATTCTGTCCTATAAGTGGGATTCTGGGACATAGTGGGTTAACCCACCTCTAGCTTCCCAATCCTCTAGTTTTCTCAGTGGTCACAGTCTACTTTTTCTCATATTGCCTGCTTAATTCCTAAAGCTTCCTCAATAGGATATGGAACAGGTGTCCCACTCATAAATGTCTGTGTCCTGATATACCTACCAAAATTCCTTGAACTTAGCAGATGTTCAATAAACATTTGATGAATTACATAGGATCACATAACAAAGGCTCTAAGGACACAATATCAAGATTACAGCTGTTTTACAAAGTCATTTCAAAAGTTTTTCATATTTGAACAAAAACTGAAGTTCTGATTTAGGAACAAGGTGACATACTATATAGAAAAATGCTAATAAATAGTTAACCATGTTCATATCATATGTTTTACAGCATGCGTTCTTGTCATCACAAAAAAAAACTTTTAAAAGGAGTAAGACCTACTTCTTCGACTGCCCACAGGTTCAATTTACTGAGACATGCCTTGTCTATTAATGAAAACTAGCCATTTAAAAAAGGTTCTTACCATGGTCAACATGAGCCAAAACACATATATTCCTGATGTTAGCAGTGTTTTTCTGGAGTTGAATCATCTTATCCAAACTATTGAGCACCATGGTTGCTCACTTCCTGTGATTAAAAATAAAAGATGTATTACAAATGACACAAGGACTAAAGGTCCAGGCAAGGGAAAAAGAAATTTAAGTGCTGGGAGCTGAAAAAGATTTCTGAGATCCCTTAAACCAAGACTCAAATGAACGTTTATAGATGAGACATACCAATCCAGGCCCAAAACCAGCTTGAAAGTCAATAAACTGTACTTATGGAGTACTTATTCTGGATGGGAAGGCTATGTTGAATCAAAGAGCTCCTGGGTGCTGGGTGCAGTGACACCAGTAGCCCCACCCATGGATTCGTACTCTGACCAACTCTTCCAGGCCAACGACAACCCTAAGAAGGGTCAAATGCAGCAGGAAGAGAAGATGTTGACGTCTCTCCTTTCCCCTAAATCCCTGGTTCTAATATTCTAGCTCCCGCTTATCCGCGGTAAAACACTCGGCTTTATACTGCCTACAGAGCCTGAAAAAAGTTTTGAGTCACGTGCCTATGAACCAAACAGGTGCACTGCCGATCTTTCTTCCCTTTTCAAATGAAAAATCTCAACTCCACCTGCCCTTCATCTTCGCGGGGGCCCCAGATTCGTAAGGTTTGATGTTGAAAATTTTAAGGACCCCAAGTCCACACGGAAAAGCCTCTGGCTCCGGATGGGAGCTACCGCTGGATGCACGCCGCATCGGCGCACGACCCCGGTCTCCCCCCGCCGCCCCCTCGGCCCAAGTCCCTCCTTACCGCCAGCACGCGGGGGGAACCCTCCTCACCAGCTCCGGCTCTCTGCCCAACACCGCACGCTTCAGCTAGGGCTCCGCAGGCCTGAACGCCGGCGTCCTGGGGGCGGGGCTGGCTGACGCGCGACCTCTGACCCGCCGGCGTCTTGGCGCCACCGGAAGCCGGCGCCGCGTCAGTTGCCGGGATCCCGCGGTCGCCTAGACGACGGTGGGCGCTATAGATAGAGGTGAAAAATCTGCGAGTGCTGAGCGCTGCGGATCTAGCAGTGAGCGGAAAACATGAGGAGCAAGTGTTTGTGTCAGATCTGTACCTGCGGGTAAGAATGGCTGGCATAGCGGCGGGCCGGGAGACCTTAGGGGATCCAGTGGCCCTTCGGGCACCTCACCTTGACCCCAGCACACCGAGAGAGGCGGCGCAGCGACGCCCCCTCTTTGGCTGGGTTAGGGTACAATGTTTCTTCTTTGTAGCTAGAAACTAGTTTCCAATTTCTTTATGCAAATTGGAATAGCATCTGGGCCAGGTAAACAGTAAGTGAAGCCACGGCGGTTGTAAGGCTGGTAAGTGGTGGATCCGACTGGTGAGTGCATGCCCCACCAGAATAAAATAATAATAATAATAATTATTATTATTATTATTATTATTATTTTATTTAAAAGAACAGTGGTCAAAGCCATTAGTTGGCAACCAGTATTACACATTCTTTCATCTCCAGCTTCCCATCCTCCAACCCAAACTGTATTCCCATATTCCCGTTCTGTCCAGGTGGCCCTCATTTGGAATCTGCCTGACAGGTAAGGCTGTAGTCCCCATCCCGAAACCCAGAACTCGTCTGTGAGTCCTGCCTAACAACCTTCCACTACCTATAAACACACTCTTTTCCTTCCTTCCCCAGCTTCACTGTTGACCCAGGGATGAGATCATTATTTGCTAGATAAATATATATCAATTCCTTGCTATTTCTTAATACCCTTAAAAGGGAAAACACCTGCATGTTGATGGAAAGCAGTTTGTCTACTATTTTCATAATAAATACTTTATAATTACATATATATTAGTTAATATATGACTTTTGAGATAGGAATCTTCAAACTCTCCTGTGCAAGAAGTTTTTTTTGTTTGTTTTGTTTTGTTTTGTTTTATAATCAACCTAAGTTTCTTCCCATCTTATGTCAGAAAATTCAATCTTCATTGTGTCAGGGGCTACATTTTCTTCAAGCAGTATAATGATCCAAGGAACTAAAGCATTGCCAATAAAAGAGTTCCTTCTGACCTTTGAACATTGGTATGATTTCCCACTGAAAAGTCCTTTAATGAAGCTCACGTATTTCTTTCAAGAGCAGGATCTCTGCTAGTTTTATTCTTATACTCTCGTGTGTAAGAGTCCTTGAGGAAGCTACAAACTTGTAGTTACAAGGCTCCACTCAACCAACTCTTTTGAAATCTGGCCACTTCCTGAGACACTGACACTGGCAAAGATTCCTCACCCTTCTCAGAGCCCCTTTTCCTCTGCCTTTAACTTCTCACTCGGTTTGGCAGCAGAAGGGAGATTTTTACTCTTCCTTCTTTTATTTATTTTTGTGGTGGTTGTTTCAAGACCATCCTTTTCCTCTTGTGACCTAAAAGACAACTATCTTTCACTCCCATTAGAAATGCATTATTTCATCTCTTCCATGAACTGTTTCTTTTGCAAAAAGCAGGAAAATTTGTTGACTTGAAGCAACTTCTCCCTCCTGCTGAAATCTCTTCAACAAGGGATTATATAAAGGTCCTGACTACCTGCTTGATATAAGAGGCAAAAGAACAAGAAAACAAGTTTGTTAATATTTCAATAAATTTCCTTTCTCTAGAAGGTTAAGATCATCAGAAGACCTTTTCAGGGAAGCTTTGACCTGTTTCTGCTAAATGTCCATTTGCTGGTTGAGTCTTTTATTTTTTTCACTTACACTATGAAAATTAATAGTTTCAGACATCTATTTTATTCTTTAAAAAGTTGAAGCAACCATCCATCTCTAATGTATTTCTTTATACAATGCATACATGATGTTTTTATGCTTGTTAAACTATGGTGGGGTTTTCTTATGTTAGAAATCAGAAATGGGGGATGCTAGAACAAAAGTGTGGCTCATTCAGATCTTTGCTCAAATATGATGAAAGAGTCTGTCATTGAAACCTTTGTTCAAATGTCATACTTTGCCCCATCTCCACACTATATCCCACTTCCCTGCTTCTTTTCTTTTCCCATTGTACTTAGGATATTCTACATATTTTTTCTCTTCACCCCTATCAAGGGTGTAAATTCAGGTAAGACATAGAATTTTCTATCTTAATACTGTCCTCAATACTGAGATTTTTACTCATTATATATTTGCTGAATGAATGAATGACCATGTATGTAGGAAGTGAATGAGAATGGTATAAATCAACTAAATCTTTATCTTCAATCTTGTAAAAATTTGAAAAGTTAGTAATTTAAGCTAATATAGCAAAGTTCATAAAAAGTTACAGATTATAGCCTCCTATAAAACTTTAAAAAACAGAAATAAGAAAAATTTTGGAAATATCAGGATTAAAGGCTTTTTCTTTATAATTCTTCAACACTGTTTGTTAAAATGTGAATGTATTTTTTCATGGAAAATAAAACTAAAAACATGACAAATTCCAAAGATTGGACTTGGTTCTTTAACTCATTCAGCTATAACAGCACCTCTATGCTTGCATGACCTGTGTACCCTGCTTCTACTTCTAAGAGTCTTGACTATGTGTGACACTAAATCATTTCAGCACTTTACCACAACCACCATGTTCAGTTGATATTCCCTAATCTCTTGATCCTTCTGACTTTAGAGTTTCTTGGACATCCTGTGACACCACCTGTTTTCCTTACGCTATAATTCTTCATGCCGTCCACCATGATTTATCTGCAGGGTATATACATTTTCTTTAGGTTCAGCTTTACAACCCTCCCCCATGGCCTGGAGTCTCCAAATGATACCAGACTTGAGAAACTGACCTTATTTCAGAATAATGTGGTTTTACTTTTTTATTTGTTTGCGGTTTTATTAGTTTTATTTTTAAAAGGTTTTATCTCTTTTACTAATTATGCACTGAAAAATTATAGTGAAAACCCTGTATATTTTTTAACACTTGTTTTTCATACATAGTTTTTATTTATTTTTTTTAAAAAAGAGTATTCATTGCATACTATTCTACCACAACGCCCTCCCCTTTAACTATTTCCTGTCTTACCATGTTCCAACAGTCATTCATAGAGGTCAACCTCATATTTTTCAACAACTCTATCCTATTAGTTTATATGATATCTGTTCATATATCACCTAAGGATGAGCATTCATTCTGAGAAATTGATCATTAGGAGATTTAACCATTGTGTGAACATCACAGAATATACTTACACAAACTAAGATGGCTATGATGTTACCAGACAACATAATCTCATTGGACTATCACTGTATATGTGATTTGTGGTTGACCAAAATGTCCATTTTTAAAAAAGCATTAATGTGTTATTTAGGGCTCTTAGTTATGGGGAATATAATCTATTCTGATTAGTGTAGGCAAAAATTAACTGTATATAAGGAGTATATATAATTCACTTGAAAGAACTGAAACCATTTTTAAACCAAGATTCCAAGGAAGAAAAGTACCTGAAAATCTCATTGTAGCCCTGGACCATGAAGGGAACTGCTAACTCTGCCACAATCAGAACACTGTAACAGAGCTGTAGCCTCCAGAACCACTCAACTCTACCAAAGTCAGAAAGCTGCCAAGTCAGGGAATCACCTTGAAAATCAGGGGACTGCCTAACTGGCCCCAAACTCTCTTTGTCTCTATCTCAATCCATACAAGCAAAATGAATGTGGTGCCCTGCTTTTCTCCTTATGTAGCTCTGTTCTAAATCAGAGTCTCATGTGAGTACATGAAATAGGTGAAACCTAAATTATTATATGCAACTGGTCTGCATGGGGTCTAGGAAATTACTTGTTGGCTTCTCAGGTCTGTAAATTAACAAGACAATATTTCTACCATGTAAGGATACTTCTTTTTTTAAACATCATTGCAGAGGGAACAGGTTGTCTAGGAAAGCTGCTCTAAAGTTTATGTGTTCTGAGTCATTGGAGGTCTGTCTGATTAATAATCACACAAAGTGTTTTTTTAAGGCAAAATAATCTTTCAGTTTGTTTGTTTGCACAGGCGACATCATTGTCCACATGGAACCACAAGGATTTATGAAAATTTTGGCTTGTCTTGCCCCACAACTGAATACTTGGAAAAGTATCCCATGTATGGCAATGTTCTTCCACCACAGAGTCTTAAACCTAAGCAAGAATTTCGAGCATGCCGTGGTAAAATGGAAGGAATAACTACATTTAAGTAAATATTGCACAATTACTTGCTTTACTTATATTTTTCTCAACTCTTCTGATGGGAACAAGGTTTTCTAGCTATTAAATATAGTTAGTTGATTTAAGTTAAATAAATCCAAGAAGCAAGAACTAGTTAAGTCTCAAGAAAAATAGAAAGATGAGCTTTAAGTTAGGTTAACAAGTTGAGAAGAAAAGAGGGAAATAAAATGTTCTATTGATTTGTTTTTATTCCCTAAAATATATCATGATCTTTTTTACTTTTCACTGTCACTGCCACCCAGAGGATAACAGTAGCTTTCCAGTGTTTAGGCCTGTATCTTCTCTAGTTTTTGCATTTCTGATCTCTTTTCAATATTTCAGTTGGCCAGGATGATCTTTTAAAAGTGAAAATCCAATCCTGTTAAGTCCCTGATGAAAATACTTTAAAACTTTCCCATTATGTTTCACATAGACCAAAATTCCTACCACAATTCCCGCATGGTTTACTCTCTACTTGCTTCTCTAGTTTATTTTATGTTTGCATCCTGTAGGTCTTTTTGTTGTTGTTGTTTCCTATAAAATGCCAGGTTTCCCATGCCTCGAATCCTTCCAAGATATTAATTTTTTTCTACCTGGAATTTTCCCCCTCTCCTTCCCTAGTTTAATACCCATTCAGTCTGTAAATCTCAACATGATTATCTCTTGGAAAAATCTTCTCTACACCTCACCTAGTTTTCAGTCTACATAAAATTCCTCAGTGTAAGTTTTCAAGGTACATTCATTACATTAGTTTTAATATTTCATGACAGTAGGAATTATGTCCATTGTTTTCTTATCATCCTATTTCCAAAATTCTAGCACAACACTTACTGGCACATGGTAGGTTCAGTGAGTGATGAAAAAAAAAATCCCACTCATCCTAAATTTTTCATTTTTATTTATTTGTATCTTTGTATCTATTTGTATTTTGTCAGTTTAGTGGGTTAGTTCTTTGTTTTCATTATTTTATTTGATGTACACTATATTCAAAGCACTATCTTAGGCATCAAGAATAAAAATATCAGTAATTTCAGGTTCCTGCTTTTAAGGAACTCATGTCAATTTTTTTTATAACTTAGGATTTTAAAAGCACCACAACAAATTTGATTTTTCTCAGTTGACTTATTCAGGTCACCCTAAGAGAAGGAAGAAAGAAAACTTTAAAAAGGTAAATAAGAAACATTCCATATCCCAAAATTCAAAATCCAAATATGCCAATACAACTAAAAATTACATTTCTTAAGTCATCATCTCTCCACTTTGTAAGACAAGAATCATAGCATAATGGCTTGGAGCTTTTGATTGACTCCTCAAGATGAATACATTGAATAGGAAGTAGAAAACTGATTTACTTGTAGAATAAGAAGCCATTGTATATGTTTCAAAGAGACTGTGTAAAGAGCAGATATCTGATCTTACAGAAGACTTTTGATCCTTTATGGCATTATAATTGTAGCATAGTTAGATGACTACCAGAGTTGGCAGGAAAGTTTGCCCTGTAGAAGTAGGATTTTAGACCTGTCATGTTTCAGGATATATCAGATGAATAGACTGCATTTACTGTTTACTGCTTCTCCACAGAAAAGTGCTTTGGATGTGGAGGTATAATTTTTAACACTAAACAATGTAGTCCAAGAACTTCTAAGACTTATAAACTAAGCTTTCTCCCTATTCTTCTCTCTATGATTTTCCCTTTCACTAACTTCCTGATTGTATTTTAGCCTATTCCCAATACCTGGCATTTGAGCAGAGTAAAGAACAATTCAGATATCTGAGAAGAGTTACATGATTTCAATTACTATTCATCCATTAAATAAATATATAGCAAACATTTGTTAAGCCTCAAACATTGTTTTATGCATCTGGGATACAGTGTGAACAAAAACAGGATTTCATTTCTCACAGATGTTCCATTCTAGTGGAGAAGCCAATCAAAACATCACTTGAAATAAATATCAAAGCACAACAGTGATAAAATCTATGAAGGATAGGTACCTTAACAGCTAGAATAAGATATTCGAATTTATCAGGGAGATATAAGAAAAATGAGCTAAAACCTGAAGCATGTTAAACAGTGAACTGTATTGAGAGAGGAAAGAAGTGTATTCCAAAAAGAAGCATTCAGTAGGAAGGAACATAGAAGTAGGAAATTTCAGAGAAAGAGAGCTAGAGCAGAGAAAGCAAAAGGAGGGTGTAGTGAGGAAGGACAGGCAGGGCCTTTGGGCCTTGTTCTATTTTATCTATATTCTTAGAGCAAAAAGTACCAGTGAAGATTTCCTTTCTGTTTTCTTGTTGAGGGTTGTGGGGAGAAGTACAGTGGTGAGTAGATAGATAAGAGACCTAAGGAGGGAGCTAGGGCCATGAGGGCAAGAATGATCCAATTCACATGTGAAAGAGTTACTTTGTGTACAAAGTGGAGACAAGATTGGCGAATGGCCTAAAGTGGATGCAGGTAAATGAGTTCAGGAAGCTATTGGAGTTATTTGACTGGGCTATTATGAAAGCTTTGACTATTATGGTTTGGTGATAAAGATGGAGAAGAATGGTTAGATTTAAAGATATTTAGGAAGCATAATTGACAGGAGTTGATTAATGACTGTGTATAAAGTGTGAGTCCTAAGTTTCTGACTATGAGCTGAAGAGATGTTGATGCTGTTCACTAACATAAGGAAAAATTACAAAGACCAGGTTTGTTGGGGAGAAATAATTTATTTGGAGCATATTGAGTTTTGATGTGCCATTGAGTATCCAAGAGGCTATATACATGCTGGTGTGGAGCTAAGAGAAGAGTACTAAGTTGAAGTAAATTTGAGAGTCATTGCTATAGAGGTAGTAATCAAAGCTGTGGGAGTGAATGTTAGGTAAGAGTAGGAGTGTGTGTAGTCCAAGCCTTCAAGAACTCCAACATTTATTTAATGGTTGAGTAGAGGTGGAAGAAGCTATATAGGAAATGGAGAAGAAATAAATCAGGAAGGCAGGAAGGGATAATTTTCTGGAAATACAGTATGTGAACAGTAATGTCAATTACTGTGACGGTGGTCAAGTAAGATGAGTTCTAAAGATGTCAGATGGACTTAGTCACATAGAAGTCATTCTGAACCTTAGAACTGTATTAGGTCGGTGACAGTGCTAGACTGAAGTGGAATGAAGAGGTGGGCTAAAGTATTTGAGAAAGAGGTTATATTGGAAATAAGAGAAAGGGACTCAGTGAGTTTTTTATTTGTTTTGGTTTGGTTTTGGGGAGTGTTTTTTGTTGTTGTTTTTGTTATTTTTGAGTCTGTGGATACAGAATCCAGAAGAAAAAAAGCAGTCTGTAAAAGCTTAGAATAATAGTTAACAGTAGATAACATTGCCCTTACTACTTATCAAGTACTCTCCTAAGTATTTGTGTATCCTTAAAACACTACAAGGTAGATGATATTATTGTCCCATTTTTATATATGAAGGAAGGAGCAAAACACATTAACTGTATTATTCAGGGTTGTACAGGTAGTTAGTGAATGACTGACAGAGCCAAGATTTAGATCCAGGCAGTCTGAATCTGTGGTATTCTCCATTTCATCAGACTACCTCAGTAGTCTTCTGTCATGTAACGTTATGTAATGCCTAGAGGGACTGGATTACCATCTGGCTTCCATCCATGGAAAATGGTTCTGAGAGATCCAAATATGAGTAGGACTCATACTGACACTGTGAATGTGACTTATGTCTAAAGGCAAGAGTTACTTATTATCTAAAACTGAGCAGGACAACATGACTTAAATAAGAAGAAAGACTGCCCAAATAGTTTACTGGAGTCTTTATGTAGGATCAATAAGGATTTTGAAGGATTTTGACAGTGGCTACAGGGAGATATATATATATATAAATTTTGCAAGTTTAAACCTTTCACCTTCAATTATTTGAGAATTTAATTTATTTAAGATCAAATTAATTGAGCATCTCTTGTTTTGATATTTTGAAAACTAGGATTTTCAACATATTGCTCTTAAGATATTGAGTCTCCTAACAGGACCTTTTAAAGGAATTTAATTAATTCATTCAAATTGTTTATCAAATATTACCATTTTAATATTTTAGACTTTTTAGGCAAGAGACAACTGAAATTATCAATGCTGAGATCATCAAAATAAAAGGTCTTGTGAGGCTATGTTTCAAATTTATATATTTCAGATCAGATTATCGTCCTTATGAAATAGTCAAACAGCCTCGCCACATACCAGAAGAATATAAACCAAAACAAGGGAAGATTGATCTTGGTACTACCTACAAACGAGATTTTAATTCTTATAAAGTGCAGCCTGTGGTAATAGTCCGGCCTTTGGAAAGACAACAAGTTAAAAAAGGGAAGTTGGACACTGTCCCAACCTATAAAGGTAACTTGCTATTTCAAAAATGAATGAGCCAACCAACTAAAACTTCCAGCTTTGATGTCTAATATCAGATTAAATTTGGTGTTTTGTCAAATGTATCCACCCATGGTTTAGGAAAGAAGTTTTTCTCTGGTGAAAATAGCATATAGCCAAAAAGCAAACAAACAAAAACCCAAACACCATTTACCTAATGGAGAGTTAAGAGGCTTGGGTTCTTCTCCAGATTCAGCTCTTAATTAGTTTTCCCTATCTTAAAACATAAAAAAGAATACCATTTATCAAGGATTATGTTATATCTGTCATTTATATCACCTTAATTACCATTGTACCTTTCTTCCCAACCTAGAATTAGTTGAAACTATCAAGAATGCTGGAGTCTTTGAAAAGATCAAATAAGTAGCAGTCCTCTTCTGCATTCAGTTTCTGAACAAACTTTTAAAGCCAAAGAATTAATAGATAAGGAACCAAAATATTGTTTTTATACTGAAATAGATCAGGATGGATGATAAAGCTTCCATCTATAAGCAAATGTTTCCTGATACCGAACCTTAGAGGAAAACCAACTGTCCCCTGACAGACAATGCTGGATTACCAACATAGGGGACCTGCAGCTCTAAGACTTATAGCATGAAAGAAGTATAAGAATACCTCCTGCTCCTGCTCCAAATAACTAACTTGAAAAAGTACTGGGCAATGTATGACCAATTTTTCTTTCCAAAAATGTATTTGATTTTAAAATACTATATATACTTTTGAGGGGTTGGTGGGTCTTAATCTAGGGCTGGGGGTGTAGCTCAGTGGTTGAGTGCTTGCCTCTCATGCATGAGGCACTAGGTTCAATCCTCAGCACCACATAGAAAAATAAATAAATGAAACAAAGATATTGTATCCATCTACAACTAAATTTTTTTAAATTAATAGACTAACTTGATAGTAGATATTATTTCTATATTTTCCTTTATAAATAAAGGAATTGCATATATAGGCTTACACTCTTTCCATTAGTTATTTGAAATAGCAGAATGGGCATGTCCTAATATGAAACCTTTTTGTAAAAGTGATGCCATCTACAACCAAGGTAATAATCAGGTGATAACTAGATACATATTTTTTCTGTAAATTTCACATTTACCAGTTCACTGGGTAAGTAAAGTACATGGTATCCATTTACTGTGGTCTATAAGCATATACCATTAGGCAAGTCAGAAACAATATTCTTTCTGATATTTAAAGCTGTGAGTACATAAGATGCTACCCAAGGGACAAATTGTGGAGACTGTGAATATGGTATATTACAATCAAACGTAGCATATAGTATTAGCTGAGATACAGATTTTTATATGTGTGGGACACTATGTACAGCACAAAATATGACATAAAAGATAATTGATGAAGATTATTTTACTTGTTCTTTTATAAAAACATAGTAAGATTTTTCTCTATGTAAGATCTACAAAAAATATGAATAATATTGATATCCCCTTATGGTTTGGATATATACACAAAACTGTCTCCCTCCCTCCTTCTCTCTCTTCCTCTCTCTTTCTGCTTCTCTGTCCAACCCTAGATCTGGCTTTCCATAAACTGTTATCTATGGATTCTCATATTTTCATTTTCATAATTCAAGGCTGGCCTTCTAGCTCCTGAACTTTTCTATTCAGGAAAGGTGACATTTTGAACTTCCAGGTTTTCAGGCATGAGACAACAGAAATGCAAGGGCCAAGGCTGTACTTAATAATTCTATGTAATTGTACTGAAGGGTTTTTTTTTAGATTCCTACTTAAGGGCAGGTATCTGTAAAATCTAAGAGGAAAGACAGAAATTGGATATGATAAAGAAATAAGCAACCCTATAATTGGTAAGCAAAACAACACTTACATTCTGGACATGGAGTTTGTGAAACAAAATGTGTCTGCTCTCCTAGCATCTTCAGCTTAGAAATTTATTCATATTAAGATGTACATGAAAATAAACCATAATAATAAATAGACATAGGGATTACCCTGCTCTGTAGCCATTGTAGGAAATACAAATATCTGGATTGCAGAATGGGTATAGACATTAAGAAATTTCATAATTGATAATCAAGGAGATAAATGATTTATATACTGAAAACTATAACACGTTTGGTGAAAGAAATTAAAAGAAGATACAAATAAATGGAACCCATTCAGAGATTGGAAGAATTAATATTGCTAAAATGTCAGCACTACCCAAAGCGATCTATAGATTCTATGCAATCCCTATAAAAATCCCATTGGTATTTTCACAAAAATAGGAAAAAAGCATTCTAAAATTCCTGTGAAACCATGAAAGATTCTGATTAGCCAAAGTAATCATTTGAAGAAACAGAGCTGGACACATAACACTTCCTGATTTCAAAATATAAGTCTAGAGTGATCAAAATAGTATGATACTGGCAAAAGAACAGACTCATAAACCAATGGAACAGAATCAAGAGTCTGGAAATATACCTAAGCATTAATAGTCAACTAACCTTCAGTAAGAGTACCACAGATACATAATGGGAAAAATGGATATCTATATAAAAGAATGAAATTGTACCTTTATCTTACGCCATACACAAAAATAAACTGAAAGTGTATTAAAGACTTAAATGTAAGAACTGAAAGTGTAAAACTCGAAGAAGGAAACAGAGTTCATTGACACTGATTTTGGAAATGATCTTTGAGACATGACACCCAAATCACAAGCAACAAAAGCAAAAATAGACAAATGGAATTACATTTAACTAAAAATCTTTGTACAGCATCCTTGGGAGAAAATATGATCCAAAATGTATAAGGAAATCACATAATTAAAAGCAAAAAAACCTGATTTTTAAAAAATGCCCAAAGGATCTGGATAGACATTTTTCCAAAGAATACATACATGAAGGTACATGAAGATCTATTCAACTAATATCAGGAAATATAAATCAAAAACAAAGATATCACCTCATACCTGTTAGGACGGGTTTTACAAAAAAGATAACAAATGTTAGCAAGAATATAGATGAAAACACTTGTGTTCATTATGGTAGGAATATAAATTGGTATATCCATATGGAAAACAGTTTTATGTTCCTCAAAATTTTTTTAAAAATAGAACCTTGTGTGGTCCAGAAATCCTTCCTCTGGATGTATACATGAAAAAAAAAATGAATTCAGTATCTTGAAGAAATACCTGTACTCCCAAATTCATTATAGCATTATTCACAATCATCAACATGGAAACAACATGAGTGTCCATACAAAGATAAATGGATGAAGAAATTGAAGGTGGGTATGTACATATTGTGTAGGGGAAGGGGGAGGGAGCCATTTCTTGTCTGAAATGCTTGGGACCAGAAGTATTCAGTTTTTTAAAAATTAGACATCTTGGGAAAGGGACTCAAGTCTAAACATAAAATGCACATAGTACAAAAATAGTCTTATACAATATTTTTAGCATGCCTGTGTTTTGCCTGACCTGTTACATGAGGTCAGATGTGGAATTTTCCATTTGTGTCCTCATGTTGGCATTTAAAAAGGTTTGAATTAAGTTGTGGAGCATTTCATATTTTTGGATTAAGGATATTCAACTTTGTGTATGTGTTCGGTGTGTATAAAAATGGAATATTATTCAATCATAACAAAGGAAATCCTGTCATTTATGAGAACATTTTTCTAAGTGAAATGTTCAGAATAGAAAAATCTATTGCGTCATCCAATATATGTAAAATCTGAAACTATTGAACACACAGAAACAGAGAATAAGACTATGGTTATGAGGGGCAGGGAGGTGAGGAAAAATGGGGAAGTGTTGGCCAAAGGGTATAAAGTTGTATTTAGCAGGATACTATCACAAAGTAAGAAATAATAAGTTGCAGGTTTATAGTATGAGTAAGTCTAGAGGTCTAATATAAGTATGATGATTATAGTTAAAAATTCTGTATTGTATAATGGAAACTAAGCCATACTAAAAATAAATAATATATACTACAAGGGTGGTAGATAATTCATTAATTCAGGAACAATCAGTACTTCAAAAATGTATACTTTGTAATATATCACTTTAGGCTAGCCTGTGAATGCATTGGAGATTAGTGATTATGGATAAAGAGAGAAAGAATATCCCCAAATCTGGTACAAAACAAGCATGTAATCATAAAGCCAGAAAAAAGAAAGAATTCATTAGTAGACATGGTAAGAGCTGAGGAATTGGAATATAATTCTATAAATATAGGTTGAAAAGAGCCAAGCTATTTGGTACGCTATGAGGCTTGATGATTTTCCTATAGCCATTACAAATTTTTATAAGTTCTGCTGCCAGTAGGATACAGTAGATGGCAGAAAGGCATTACTTCCACTGCAACAGGCTTTTTTTTGAGTATAGAATTTTTAAAAAATGCTTATATTTTAAAAATGGCATGGGACAAGTGAGGAGGCAAATAAAACTCCTGAGAGGGAGGAAGCCTCCTAGATGAGATGAAATGGCCAACTGTTTATTTCTGTGGCAGCATTTGTCAAGTCTAGTTCTAGGCTAAGGATTGATCTTGGCATAGGCATAGTCACTCTACTGTGGGAAAGAGAAACTGGTGGAATACTTGATTGTGGGCTGGTTTGACAAACTGGACTCTAGAACTCCAGATGCACGGCAGTTTTCCTTGTGGAACATTGACAGAATGTTTAAGGATCATGATGGGCTAAGAAACTGGACCAAAAAAACTCCCACAGAAATATTCCACTTTTACATGGGAATAGATGCTTAGGAGAAAAAGTCCCACTAGAATGAAGGCCCTAATACAAAGTTACCTCAAGTCTTGTCCTTGAGACATTTGAAACTAGAGGAAGAATACATCTAACTAAAGATGCCAGTGAGAGCTAACCTAGCTCAATTCCCAACTGGAATAAAGTAACCTACCCTAAATTCTTTCTGCCTACTAGAGGAAAGAAGAAACTGTCTCCTGTGGCAAATAACATTGATTTTAGCTTCTATGATTATGTACAATATTCAGCATA